ACGACCAATAAACCTTTGCCTTGGTCATTGTTATAATCGTCGCGGCATTGAATCTCGATGACGTCCCCTGGGTGCCATTCCGCCCGACTGGCGAAGTCTGCATCCAAGTCAGGGCTCACCCAGGGGCCAACTGCGCAGCCAATCGCCATGGCTGAAACAATCGGTACAGAGTGAGGCACAATGCATTCAAATGATCGCGTGTGCGAGTCTTGAGCCAAAATTGGCAACGGACCCGTCTGCTAGCCCGCCGGTGCGTGCGCGCGCGTGGAAGCGAAACAAAGCTCCCGGCCTCCGGCCAGGTCATATAAGTGCTGTTGGGGGGAGGCGGCGGCGCGGCAGCACGCAGGACTGGGGGCCTCCCGAGGGCCCCCTCCTTTTGCACATGGCCGTAGCACCTTGACTTGGAACCGAAGGCCCTCGAAACCACTCTCCGCGCCTCATCGCGCTTGGCCAGGGACCCAGACGGTGGACCCAATACTGGTCGGCACAGCAGCGTTCCGGGCAGCGACCTGAGGGGGTCAAGGCCGCTCGATCCATTCCACCCGCCCCACCCTGGCTATGTTGCCGAATTCCACTCTACTTCGAGAGACGAAGGAGGACGCATAATGATCAATCCACGTGTGAGCTTCGCCTCTGAATTGCATCTCTGCTCGGATGGCGGCACCGTCTTCAATATAAGTTTCGGCTGTCCTCGCCCCCCTAGATTCTTCGAAGCTAGATACTCGTGCGTGGCCCCACCCCAACGGAGGCTGCATGGAGTGAGGCGCGCGAAGCGGGAGCCAACACCTGCAGCAGCTAAATTGAAAGCGGCGTGGAAGGCTGGGGGCGTACCGCTCCAAAGTTTGCCGGCAGGGTCCAGCGACAGTGCGCGATGCATCCAAGCCCCTATGTAGGGATCGTCGACGGTGACGGTCTCCCGGGCGCCTTTCTGGGCAGCAGTTTTGGCCCAGGGGAGACTCGCGACCCCTCGCCCCTGGGGGCCGATCTGGTCCAGGGCCCGGTTCAGACCCAGGATCAGGATCTCACCTGTTCTCATGCACAGGTGGAAACCTCCGAGAATGCAGGCGGCCAGGGCGAACTCATTGCGCTCGAGCGCCCAGCAGGCCATTGCGGCTGTGACGCGAGCAGGCATCGGAGGCGCTCGGCTCGGCCGAGGCGCGACCACACCGAGAGGAGGCGCCATGCCCCGGGGCATTGGCGGCGAGAGCGCAGAAAATGTTGCACTCCAGACAAGGCGTCGTTCGTCTGTCCTTTCGAGGCTCCGATGCTCCAGAGATGCTCAAGATAATCCTGAGAGCAGAGATCCATCCAAATCGTCCCGCGTGACTGGCAAAGAGAAATGCATAGCGCTCAAGAGCTCGACGAACTGCTGGCACGCGCGCTGATATCTGTTGCGCGTTCTACTATTCACACGCGCGTCGGCCAGACGGCCAAGGGCAGCTCGGGTAGCGCGCCTGTCATCAGGCGATTACCCATTGGGCAAGCGGGACGGCGCGTCCGCGGTGTTCTTCGCCGACGAGGTGAAGGCAAAGACCGCCCGCGAGCCGTGCGCCAGCTCCAGGATGGAGAAGGCGCGCACTACCTTGTTGAGCTGCTGGCTCGAAGACCGGCGTTTGGCAAGCGCACCGACGTTCGCCATGCTGTCGAGTATGTGCAGGAAGACGCACATCTGCCGCGAGACCGGGCGGGCCCGCCACCGCAGGGCCATCAGCGCCGCCTCGCACTCCAACACATTGATGTGCTTGGCCTGGTCTGCATCGATCTCTTGCCGCGGGAGCATATTGCCATGCGTCTCTGCGTCCGTGCCCACCCGAAGGTCAGCGCCCGAGTGGTGGCACGTCATCACCAGCGAGGCCACCGCCCTCTGGTGCTCGAGGAAGGGGCAAGAGCACCCCCTGCCGCGCTGCTCCAGCTCCGCCAGCAGGACGTCCGCGTGGCAGGGCTGCCCCGGGGGGCAGTGGCTCGAGCAGCCGAGCCCCCTCCAGTTCCTCCAGCTGGTCCAGGAGCTCCGGCTGGGAGCGCAGCCAGCCCGCGAACAGCGCCACCGCGTCGCCGGCCGGCCGCCCCGGCACCACGGGGTACGGGTTGCTCGACGTGGAGGGGCCGAGCCCCCAGCGGCGCGAGCCGCGGCCGACGTAGACGGCGCGCACCTCCGGCCCAGCGCCCGCCGAGGGCGCGCGCCCAGCGTCCGCCGCCGGGGAAGCCGCCGCAATCGGCGCGGCGGCGTCGGGGGAACCCGCCTCGGAGCCGGCGCTCAGCCCCGGCAGGCCCCCCTTCGCCTCGGCGCCCCAGCACGCGCGCGGGCGGCCAACGCCCCTCCTCAGCAGGTGCAGGTTCTCCTCGCAAACGGCCTCGCGCCCGCGCCGCAGCGTCTCCACGTCGCCGGCCTGCAGCTTGCGGCCCAGCGCCCAGCTCCTCGAGCTCTCGTGGAGGCTCCAAAGGAAAGGCACCGCCACCAGCAGCGAGTGGTGCACTGCCCAGTGGCTCAGCAACCAGGCCACGACCTCGCGCTGGAACGAGTTCCCCACGAGCGACCGCCGGAGGGCCTGGTAGCGCTCTGGGCGGCTCTTGGCGGCAGAGCAGCTCACGCAGGGTACCGCGTGGCCCCGCCTGAAGCCCATCAACACCTCGCGCTCCACGGCCCGCGGCGGCTCCTTCCGCCCATCCGCCCAATTCAGGCAGAAGCAGCCCCGAAACTGATAGGGCGGAGCCGCGTAGCCCGCCGCCGTCCAGCGCGCCACATTTTGGCGTGCACTGGCGAAGCCCGGCTGGGCGTGGCCGAGGCGAGCTCCGCGGCGCCCAGCGCGCAAAGGTCGGCAGGCGGCCACCCTCAGCGGCCCCAGGCCAGGAAGCCCCGCGCGGCGGCCACTCCGAGACGGGCGGCAGCTCCGTCACCAGCCGCACCCGGCAGGCCCGCGGCCGGGCCCCATCCGCCGTCGCCTTCATCTCGGCCGCCATCTCGAAGGAGGGCAGCAGGTCCCACGACAGCCAGTGCAGCCGCGGGCGGCGGACCCAGCCCAGGTCCGCGGCGTCGAAGGACTCCGGCACTCGGCCGAACATCTTGCTCAAGGCCAAAACCTCGTCCTCCGCCATGGGCGCCGCGTTCTCCCCGAGGAAGTCCACCGTGGCCTCGGGCAGCTCGCGCTTCAGCCCCTCGATGAGCCTCCGCATGTGGCCCACCAGCTGCGACCTCGGGTCCGCGCTCCCTTTGCGGTCCACGTTCAGGACCGTGTGGCCCTGGCAGGGGCCCCCCCCGATCACGATCACCTTCGCGATGCGGCCGTGGCCCCTCAGGAGGCGCGCCAGGTGCACCGGGTCCGCAGCCGCGATGTCCCCCAGATGCACGGTGCCGGGGAACGCCCGCCGAGCCACGCGCACGGCCTCGGCGTCCACCTCGAACGAGAGGTGCGCCGCCGGGACGAGCCCCGGGATCTCGAAGGCCCGGCGCGCGCCGTCGATCCCCGAGAAGACGGAGATCAGCGCGACGGCCTCCTCGCAGGCCGGGTTGAGGGGCCGCGGGTTCCTGGCGCCAAGGGCGCGGCCCATGTCCGACAGCCCGTGGGAGTAGACGATCGCCCCCGCGGCCTCCGAGGCGTCGGACGCCGTCACGAGGTGGTCGACGGTCAGCCGCATGTCCGCCACGCTGAGCGGCGCGAGCGCGGCCGCCATCAGCAGGTCCTCGGCGACGCCCAGGGTGGCGAGACCGCCCGACCGGCCAGGCGCCAGCCACTTCCACTGAGATGAATGTCGGCTTTGTTAAAGCTTATGAGCTTTATAGCGAGTTGCTAAGGTTGTTACAACGTTCATACAACCCTCTCACAAAGCAGCAACAAGCTGCTGTAGCTAGTAAGCTTGCTTATTATAGTTAGCTAGCGCCAGCATGGTCTTTATTGATTCAACATAAACTGTATAAATGTGTATCGGTTGCTAAATAGATTACGGTTTATGTTGGATAGCTACGATAACTTTGATAACTCATTTATATCATGTTAACATACCTGTTTATGTTAGTTTAACATATTTTTTGTTTGAAATTTGAAGTCCATGTTGAGTTAACATAATTTTTCGAATAAGCCAACATGATGCTCATAATAGGCTAACATGATTTTTTGTCCGAAAAATGTTGACCTCGTTTTTCTCAAAGGCCCAACATGAACAGATCTCCACGTTTCAACATAGCTCCCGTTGCAAACCAAACTTTGAAATTTTTCGAACCAAACATAGCTCCCGTTGCCAACCAAACGTAGCCCCCTTTGCAAACCCAGCTCATGTTGGGAATCCAAAGAACATGTCAGAACACATTTGTCGTGAACAAGCTCTGAAAAACTTGGTGAGCTTTACCCAGGGATAGGTTCGGAGGACTCAACATCAGCATGCAGAGCAGATATTCAACATTGATATGTGGATGAGAGGTATGAGCATCGGACACGACGATTTCGAGAAATATTTTGTGATTGTGCAGTTGCATTCTACCATCCGTAGTTGTCGAACTTTCGGCTGAAAGCATTCGCTATAGCTTCCAGCAGCTTTCTTCAGCTATGTCTCAGCTTACGGAAGCTTTCAAAACTGAGTTCCAGAAGATCTTGAATTTGAAAAAGATGAAGGCGAACGAGCATATGGATATGCTGATGACCTGCCTTCGGGCACACAAGTTGGCGTACACCGTGAACAACATCGAACCGAAATTTTTTCTCGCACACAGTGCGAACCGTGGAGGGCTTCTTCTGAGCCCGCACAGTGTGCATCGCAATGCTGCTCGGATCCATGCAGCTGGTGCCGACGTGCGCCAGCTATCACATGCCGTGTGCATCGAGCTTGGAGTCAATTCGCCCGTCCGTTGGCAGCGCGTTGCTAAGAACAAAGCGCTGGTGGACAGAGCCGATGGGCTTCTAGCGCCAGTTAATGGCTCCGAGCGGTACGTTACAGTCGGGTGTGGACACACCACGGCTTTCTGCAAACTGGCAGGGGTGCAGGGCAGGACGTCGGAGAAGTCATTGTAGATGGCTGATTCAGATACGATTGACGTGCAGAAGTTGCCCCAGAATGCGCAATTCAAAGCCATGATCGAGAAAGGCTGGGCGTGGGAGGTGGTCCCGAGCATCATTGACGAGCTGTTCCCAGGTTTCGCTTCAGTAGCCCAGAAGGCTTTAAACGCTCAGAACCACATCGGCACGGAGGTCGGGGAGCCGGAGACCTGCATGACATTGGCGGCGATTGCTAATGACCCAGGGATGCGCCAGGTTGCGGATTGGAAAGTGGAAAGCCATGGCTATCGAGAACGTAGTTTCGCTCAACACACCGAGCGCAAAGTACAGCAAGAGATTGCTTGAATTTGTTGAGAATTTCGGCGGTGGCGATGGCGCTCCTCTCGTGTCGTTCATGGACTCGGTTGCACAGCAATTTGGTTGCAACGCAACGTTGGGGCAAGCTTTCTGAGAATCGATTACGAACGCAGCTTTCGCATCGAAAACCAACATGTATCCTTTGATTCGGGCGGCACTTGCACTTGCATACCTCACGGGCGACAAGGTTGAGGACGGCGTGGCGCGCTTGCTTGCGAAGAATGACGTCACGAAGGTTGCTAGCAAGTCTAAGATGGCTGAAGCAAATACTGCTGAAAGCATTCTTGGCGAAGCCATGGATATCGCCAGGGGGCTTGATGGCATCGGTGCGGCGTTGCAGACATTCGGGCAGCTATTCGTGAGGATTGCGTTGAAGCTCACAGGTAAGGAGAAGATGGGTCGGGAGGGCAAGGAGCTTAAGTGAGGCGACCTATGCAATTCATTTCTGACCAGCCTCAGCGACCCCAAGGGTCAGACGGTAACGTTCGACGAGTGGTCTAAGCATGCGGTCTCGAGCGGCGCTGCAGCCGCTGCCAAAGCGAAGCCGAGTGCATCCAGCACGGCGGCGCTCAGCGACCATAAAGACCCGACATGGATTGCCAAGAAGGCTGGGTATTCGGTCGGGTGTCTAGTAGTCCAGAAGGACGTTGCAGCCCAGGGGCTTTACGCTATCTTCAGCATCGGCCAGACTGTCAAGCTTCGCGAAGCTGTTAACCACGACGCGAGCCGAGATGCACACACGGCTGATATTACATGTGAGGATCTTCTTCAGAAGTGGTCAATCTCTAAGGCTGCACTGTCAAACCAGATGGATGGTGATCAGCAGCGCCCGCAGCAGCTGTACATCAACAGGCAGAAGGCTGCGTTGTACCGAGCTCTCCTTGAGCTAGATGCCAAGCACGTGGGCAAGCATAAGCTGACGTTCTGGCGGAAGCCAGATGGGGTGTGGACTACTAGCGCGATCCAGCAGGGCCAGCTTACTTTGGTCCCAGCGGCACCACTCATCAGCATAAGTGCGACGAACAGTGGGTCTGGCATTTCACTTGGCGAGCATGCGATTGACAAAGGCGCCCAGGTTCACTTTTTTGTGTTGCCTGTATCTAAACCGCAAGACAATGACACCAACACCCAGTTCGATGAAGCCGCATTGGTGGCTGCACACTGGTGGGTCGCGCCAACCTACGACAAGAAGCAAGCCAACATGGCTACGAGCCACGTGTCACACGGTGGCTTAATGTTGCCAGTGCTGACCAACACTACCGACATCGGGCCCAATGTGAAGCTCCAGATGCTCGCCAAGCCCAAAGCTAAGGAGGTGCCCATCCATGAGCAGGCCGTCAAGAAACAGAAGAAAGCTTGAACAGCATCCATCAGCCACGGGTGCTAGTCTGCAGCGGGGTGTGTTTTGTATCGCACTTTTGTAATCTCTCGAGCTCTAGCCCAGAGCATCCCAGCACTCTGCAGTGCTATAGTCATATGCTGCCGCGCAGTAGCAGGGGAGAGTAAGGAGGAGCGAAGATGCGGGTGGAGGTCGAGCTGTTGCCCCGTCGGCAAGCACGAAGCTTTAATGTCGGACACATCTCTTTTGCGTGCGAACGGGTTTACCAGCCATGCGCTTATCAGGCAGTTGACGCAGTCTTTGTGGACAATCGCACTTGCACCGACAGAGAAAAAACCTGGCGGGTGTGGGGCGAGATGCGGCGGGTGGTCAACATTTGCTAATATGATCCTGACTGGTCGCCCACAGTCCTTTGGCATGCAACCGTCCGCATGGCACATTCCCTCAAGCCCGTGCGCTCCCACCGTTGCCCTCATTGGTCATGTCTTCCCTCAGCAACGTCTTTCTGTTCAGGGCGGCGCCGAACCAGGGGGGGGGGGGGGCAGGAGGGGTGATGATGAGGGGGATGTCACAGAGAGTACGAGAGAACGATAACGAGAGAATATAGGGTGCATGCTCACTTCAGCGAGGCCGTCCGAAAATATTGCAAGGGGCATGCGAAGACAGCCAGCGGCGAAGCGAATGACATCGGGTGGCAACTGGCATGCTATGTGATGCCATGCGGGCGGCCCTCTTAGGCTCACCCTGCATATGCTATGGCATGCCATGCTCATCCAGCCCCCGAGCGTTCGAGGACTGTCCAGGCCAACGAGTTGATGCGCCATGCGGTGCAAATGAACCTAAGTGTCAGTCGCATCTGTCGTCGTTATCCCCACCCCCCTCCCTTCTCCTTATCCTGGCTCCGTGGCCTCTCTCGCTCATCTGACGTCGTCCACGTCGCGTCCCCTCCTTTCTAGGATGCAATCGAACCTCAGCCGTTAGGCTCAAACGACCAGGGATAAAGCATCACGGTTTGCTGTAAGCATAATGCAGAAAGCAACGCTTGAACTTTCTCGCACCGTCAAGCTGGAAAGGATAAAGCCAGTTTGGCGGATTCACAGGCCATATGATATGGCTACTGTCGGCGATGGCACTTTTGTCCGAATCTCACCTGCGCAGTATACACTGGACAGCCTTTTGGCTTATAAGAACGATGACCTCCCACGCGGGCTGGAGCAGCAGGCAGTGGTTCTGAGCAGGGGGCTGAAGTCGTTGATAGCTCAGCGGAATGAGAAGCAGTCGGACGAGCTCAAGCAGGAGCAAACCCAGGCAAAAGGCCTCTCTGTTCAAAACGCCACCGAAGCAAACGAAGCTTGTGAGGACCCACGCCGAGAAGGCTGACATGAGGCGTGATCCTGGTGTCATGTGCCTCGAGGTGGTAGTTCACGATAAGGCTGTTCACATTGATGTTCTGAAGCCAATTCACCCGTGTGACAACCTCTTCGTTGCGTACGAGCCCGAGGCTTTGGCTGCGGCAATTCACATTATGAGGGCAATGGGGTTCGATGAGCCGCAGAAGCGAGATCGATTGCCTGATCTGCCTAAGGGTGTCCACCACAGGAACGGCTATGTACTTGCAAAGTTCCCAAGGAGCACAGATGGCCTGAACGGCTACGGCTACAAGAAATGCAAGACGGTTGAGGATGCGGTACGGTTCCTCACGCAGCCGCAGCCCCCCGATGGTGGGCTCCCCGATGCGGGCGATGAGCCCCCCGATGCGGCTGGTGAGCTTCCCGATTCGGATGCCGAGCTTCCTAATTCGTGTGCTGAGCCTTGCCGTGCTGGGCTTCCCGGGCATTCTCATGACTAATGCTGCAAGTGTATATGCATGCACTAAGCCTTGAGGCTGACAGCGCCCGTATGATTGGGGGCTGCGGGCTTAGCACTTCGCTCACCGAGTATGAAAAAAAACAGTCATTGCTCATCAAGCCGATTGGCTGCGTTGATGCGTTTCCGTTTGGGGCTTGGGGTCGGGGACTACCATTGTAGATCAGCCGTTCTGCTTCAGAGGCTCCTCCCCCCAGCGCTTGCGCGCTTCGTCCGTTTCATCGGCCATCGCGCGATGGCTCCCAAGGGCGCCCACCAGGACAGCAAGGCCGTGCTGAAGCAGCAGCTGAAGGACATGAAAGCCAGCCGCAACGAACACAAAGAGCGCGCAGATGCGCTTGAGCGATTCGCGAAGGTGATCGCTAACAAGGTGGAGACCAATAAGCACGTTCGCGAGATCTTCGATGACGTCAGGAAGTTGCACACCTTGACTGAGGGCACGTCGACGCAGACCAAGCCGACTAGCCTCGGGCGCCTGCAGAGGTTGCCGGCCCCCCCGAGGTCGTGGAGGCGACGGACACAGCCCCCCCTGGCGGTTGGGGCGCAAGCTCGTCGTCATCGAGCTCGCCGTCGTAAGCTGCATGGCGCAGCTGGTATGCCCGTGGGCAACAACTCTCTGTGGACTGTGATCGTTGTTGTGTGATGCTGTCGACGTTGTGGGTATCTTCAAGGGCGGTTGTCGCCCATGAAGATGCACGCAACGGCGATAACAGGCCACTGCAGCGATCACAGACCACAGCTCCTGAGCCTCAGTGGCTATTTCACGATGTACCATGCGTTCGCCCGTAGCCACCATGGTGCTATTTGCGCTCGAAGCGATCGCGAGTTCATTGTGCTGGTATTGTGGTCTCGCGCTGTGATCTTGATACAGTTGCGAATGAGGAGGAGGAGGGGGATGAGGAAGGTGAGGATTAGTTGCGTGATGCACCCGATGCTGTGCTATGCAGAATGCCATGCGATCGGCCCAAACCTCAGAATGCTACGTTATATGCAATGCTGTGCTATGCATGTGGCTGGCTTTTTCTGAAGCGGTGTAGCATATATGTCCAGCCAGACCCCAGTGCCAGCATGTATTCGCCAGTCAATCACTTTCAGTTCGTCTATGATGTCCTCCCCCATCACCCCCCTCCCTCCTCCTTCTCCTGGCTCCGCGTCCTCTCTCGCTCATCTCATGGGGTGGCACCCCGCCTCGCCCCCCTCAATCTGTCATCTCAGCACATCGCTATTCAGAAAATCAGAAGACATTGCTCCCACACAATGTAGCGATGCGATCTTCACCCGCAGTTGCGGAGGGCGGGTAGGAGGATGGGGGTTGAAGGCGAGGAAGCTGGTGATGAGGTTGATGGCTATGATATGATATGCCAATAATCTGGCGCAGATCTCAGATTGTTATGTAACTTGTGGTGCGATGCAATGCTATGCTCTGCACGTTTAGACCATGTCCAGTCTCACCCCCCCACCCAAAATTTCAAACTGACATCTTTAAAGCAGGCTCAGTCCATGTAGGTCGTCGTTATCCTTGCCCCCCTCCCTCCTCCTCTTCCTGGCTCCGTGGCCTCTCTCGCTCATCTCATGGGGCGCCCCCCCGCCCCCCCCCCCCCCCCCCTCCTCAACATGTCGTCGTTCACAACAGAATTCAGAGCATGCAAAGCATGATGACATGCCACAGGCCGTGGACATGGTCAACGCCCGACGCCCGCAGAGTCACCAAGAGCACCCCGATGTTGTTTCATAGGTGTCATTGTAGTTCCATATGATGGTTAGGTTTCGGTTGGGGCCTCAGGTAGGTTGGTCTTATGTTCGATCGGGTCGAACAATTGAGCTGGGCCTCCAAAAATTATGTTCGATTGGGTCGAACATCCGATTCGGGCCCCCGAAGGCAATGTTCGATCGGGTCGAACGCTTGATTTGGGCCCCAAACGGATATGTTCGATCGGGTCGAACATCTAAGTTGGGCCCCCGGAGGTCTTATTGGGGCCCCAGATGTTATCTGGTGAGGTCGCATTGGGACCCACTGGGGCAACCCAGTCAAGACATCCATGCCTCCTCCGCGCCTCCCCCCCTCCACCACACCCCCTCCGTGTCAGCCATTTTGGCTCCGGGCGCTGCTTCGCGCAGCGGCTGATCGCGCAGCGGCTGATCGCGCAGCGGCGGCGCGCCTTTCTTTCGCGCGGCATCGCCATCTGGTTGCAGCGCCATGGACGTGTTCAAGAAGGACCTCGTGCTCGAGAGAGAGCTCTCGTTCCCGAGACAGCCTGACGGTCCTCCCCCCACCAAGCTGCGACCCACGACGCGAGCTGCAGTTGTCAGCCTGGACTTGGCAACGGTCTGCGAGCGAGCGGGCGCCATGGAGCGCAATCCATTCAGGCATGCCACCCTTGTCGTGATGGCGGACGACGTTCAGAACAGCATATTTCTTCAGTCATGCAACGATGAGGTTCTGGAGACGGTCCAGGCGACGGTTGGCAGCTACTTCAACACGGGGGTCGCTCACTACGGCGGGTTCGTGTGGAAGTCCACGCAGAAGACCCACGGCGGCGACGGGGGCTCGCTGTACATCTTCCGTTGCGAGGACGGGTGGTACGGCAACGACGCGATGTGGACGACGGTCGCCGAGCGCAAGAGCTACCAACAGGCCGCGACGATCATGTTCTGGAGCGCCAGCGCAGGCGCTGACTTCGAGGACGCACCTCCAGGCGCTCTACACTTTCCATGGCGGAGCGCGTCGGAGTCGGACGGGATCCAGGTCCTCAGCGGCCAGGCGGCGCACGAAGCCGTAATCATTCAGAAGGGCGACGGCGGCGGCAGCCTCAGGGGCGGCGGCGGCAGCTCAACGGGCGGCGGTGACAGCTCTAGGGGCGGCGGCGACGGCTCTAAGGGCGGCGGCGGCGGCAGCTCTAAGGGCGGTGGTGGCCGCTCCAAGGAAGAGGCGCCTCGCGGGAAAGGCGGCCGTGGCGGCTGGATGCCGCGGCTGGCGACGCTCATCACCGACTACTGGCGCAAGGACTGGGCCGCCTTCGAGACGCACGCGAAGGAGTACTGCGATGGCTCTCCCGCCCTCCGCAGGCTTCCCGGCTGGGATTAGGCTGCCATGATCGGTTCAGCGTTTGACTACAGAGACTTGGTAGTCAAACGGAGGCGCCTAGCGTTTGACT